ATGAGCAAAGTTTGGTTCATAGGTTGGCCATTAATGAGAGTTGGCTAGAACATTTTTGATTGGGTTTGTTTCGAGCTGGCGTTAAATTGCAAAAATTGTCAAATGAAAAAGAACAGAGATAGAGAGAGAGACAATTTGCCGCCCCTCCTCCAGCTCTTTCCCTCTCTCTTCCCCAGCTCTCGAGTTGATTAAAAGCAAAAATGTCAAAGTTGAACAGCTCTTGGCTCAAATTGCGGCAATCAACATTAAACATAATGAGTGTCAAAGTGAAAAGCAAACTTTCAATTCTGCTCAGCTGTCAATGGCAACTGCAACGATATCCTGTTTATCCTGCAATGATGCCCAACAACAACAACACTAATAAGCGACAACCGACTGCCACTCACTCAATGACAAATGCAATTGCAGCAGCTGCAAAGCTTTTCTGTAAATTCCTTCATTCAAGACTTCCTTTATACACTAACTTCTACTTGAACCCATTGAAACTGAAAGCTCAAAGGGAAAATAAAACATAATTATTTCATGAATTAATAATAAAAAATTAAATTAAAATCAATTACTAAAATTCTTCAATATACATTTATTTGCAATTTTATATAAGATAAATGAATAAAGCAAAAGCTCAAAAAATTTTTTTTAAAAATTTATAATATTTTTACATAAACTATTTAATTAACTAATAAATATTTTTAAAATATTTTTTTTCTGGCTTGCTTATTTTTATTTATATTAATAAACAAATTATAAAAAAATTTTTGAAACAATGAAATTTGTTCATAATCAGAAAATTTATCAATAGTTAAAGAAAATATTTCAATTGTGGAAAAATTTTATTTATTTAAATTATAGCCTTACATTTTTTTAATTGTTAAAAATTCATGAATAAAAAATCTTTAAATATTTAATTTATATACAAATTAACTTTATTAATTTTTTAGGAATATTAAAATTTTTTCTTGTAATTAAAACTTATTAGGTTATTTTTTTCAATGTATTATTAAACTTACTAAATTAATTAAAACTTTGCTTTTTGTTATGTATAAATTCTATACGTTAACTAAAAGCTGGAACAAATTGGCAGATAAATATTTGTTTTAGTATTATGTAAATCTTAATGAGCTATTTATCATGTTAATTATGTATAGATTGAGTTGTTAACTTGATTGTTATGCTCTTAATTATTATTTGCAGCTGACATTAAGCTGCTGGCACGCAAATTCTCGCACTTCGATCCTTTGACACTGAAGGTTCCGCTGAAGGATGTCGTTTGCTATTTATCACTGCTCGAGGCTGGCCGGCCAGAGGACAAGCTCGAATGTAAGTGCTGAGAAAGCTATGAGGCATGCCACAACACTTGACCTTCCCCCTCTGCCTCTCCCTCTCTCTCTCTCTCAATCATTCATTCTGGCAGTCATGTTCCGCCTGTATGACACGGACAGCAATGGAGTCCTGGACACAGCCGAAATGGATGCCATTGTTAATCAGATGATGGCCGTGGCCGAATATCTTGGCTGGGATGTCAGCGAGCTACGCCCGGTAAGTGTCTCCTCCTCCCTCTTATACTTAAAAGTCATTACACTGCAATCAGAGCCAGAGAAAATTCTTGCTCATTACGCACATAAATACGTAGGGATCCAGAGTCCACAACAATCAAGCAATCGTTGCTGCTGGGATTCGAATAGCGAACTAAAACTTTTTCAATTACTTACAAGCACTTAAAATTAATTCTATTTTTATTGCCTTACGATTCAAGTTGAAGCTGAGAACTTTAATAGTTTTTCACAACAAGCCAAGGCAACAAAAAAACACAATTTGTAGTCGGTTTTTATATACCTGCACCAGTTGCTTTAATCGAGTTTAGAGCTAAACGAGTTTGGCTTGCGTTACGCACATATAAAGAAGATGAAAGTAATTGCTTAACCAGGAAAAGTAAAGGAAACTCAAGATCTAGTCGACTACTAGATACCTGCACCGGTTCCTTTGAAAACTGCTAACAAATTACAATCAATACTCGACTCTAGATATCTACACCAATTGGTTTAATGAAGTCTTATCTCTTCATATCTAATCTTTTTATATCAAGCTTAGTTAGAGATAGACACATAAAATGCCAAACATGTTATACAAAGTAATCACACAAGTTATAGCGGAACAAGAACAACAAGTAGTCGACTATTAGATACCTTCACTTGCTTTCTTAGCAGTGCTTACATGTCTAACACAAGGTTTCTTTGGGAAAGGCTTACAGTCAGTTAAGTTAACACGAATCCATAAAAGAGGGAAAGCACATGTACCCGACCTTAAAATAACTACTAAACCCCTTAAATGCCTCTCTTCAATCAGGTTTAGTAGGAAACAGAAATAGCTTTAAGTAATCAAACAAATTGTCGATGAACTGAGCAAAACAGAAAAAACAGAAATGGGGACAAGGAAGAAATGTTGTTGCTGGCGACCACAAATAAAGTCAAAGCGTCACAAAACTCAATTAACAAAATACCCTCGGGTTATGCTGAAACGAGAACGCAGCGCTGGACGAGTGGGCGGCAGTTGAACGAATCTAACTGTGTTAAAGCCAAGGCAAGACTACGCCGAGCTGCCGAGTGGGTTTTAGGTTGAGCTTGTGCGCACTTCCCATTTCCAGTCTCATGATAGCTTTATGACACTGAACGCAGGCCACAGAACACAGCTAGAAGGCGCCGCATACTTTAAATTCTAAGCAGATACACAAAAAATATTTTAATCAAAATTCTTTGCGGGCTTGAAAAAGGGAATATATAACAAGTCAAATTAATCTAGTCGGGAATGACCGGCTTGGAGATACCCTAAATGGTGTGCAGTACTGATTTTATCAATATATTTAATAAGAGACACTCAAGTAGATATTGAAGAATAAACAGTTCAGATATATAGATAGCGAGCTACGAACAGACAGACAGACAGCCTTCCAAATATGGCTGAATATGGCTATCTTCCAGCACATAAACAATACATCCTGTGTAGCCACTATGCATGGGTATAAAAAGAGTTTCGTTTGCCACGGCAACTGGGGCATAGTTGAAACAGAAATAATCAAAACACTTAATGAATTGCATAATTCTGAAATTCATTTCCGGCATAATAAAACCGAGTTTGAGAGCCTCAAAAAAGGATGCCGCATAAATTCTAGTATAATGAATTTTCCAAACATAAACAACTTGCGGTTCAAGTCTATCAAAGTTTGGTACGTTCGTGCTACCAGCAAAAAGGCAAAGGCACAGACAAAGGCAAAAAGCAAACAGGACATCGCATTACAAATGGCACCGGATATTGAATATTTCTGCTGTTGATTCCTGGAAATGTTCCCTTTGAACTGAAGCCACAGCAAATCCAACTATAAGATTTAAAAGAAAATGCCAATACGGAATGAAAAGCTACAGGAAATACACTTAAAATGCTGCATGATAAGCGATTCGAATAGTAAATCCGATTTGAGCAGCCTTAAAGCCAGTCGTAGTCCTTTATAGACAACGAACTGCAGCTCAGCCATATTCCTAAACAGAACAGTGGAATGTGGTTACGTTTGTAGTACCTTGATGAGCTTCTAATCTTTTGATGGAAATTGAAGGAACTATTACTTGCGATCTTCAAACATCATGATGGCTTTATCCCATGTCCGTCAATTCTGCACAAGGATTGAAGCAACTTATAGCCAAGGCAACCAAAGTGCATTGGGATCTGGTGGGTCCCCACCATTTCAACCCTCATTAAAACATTTGGGAAGAATATGGCCAAGTTAAAGCCGTTTTCCAGCAAAATGACATGCATTTTCCGAGTTCTTAAGGCTGCTCGCGAGTATTCAAATTTTTATTTTCTAAAGGAGTCTAAGTAAGAATATTCAGGATTTTCAATAATTCCGTTTAGTTAGAGTAAAATTTGAAATTCTCATATAGGAAACTCCAAGGGGTGCTTGATATTATATTTATTTAAAAAACCGCAAGATCAGATGATCTAGCTAAAGATGTTGTGTCCTGAAAATTGTAAAACTCTGCAAAATGCATAACGTTGCCCTAAAAAGTATGCAATATTTTTTTTACTTTTTTAGTAAATAATGCAAGACCTTGTTTTACTTATTTCCATTCGATTAGAGTTTAAAATAGGTATAAAAAATTAAATTTTACGTAGAGAAAAATTGCACTCACTGTTATATGCTTAGCAAATCCGAATGCAAACGCACTTTAAGTGGCTTAAATGCACAATTTGAGGTGGCTTTTGCTTAGATTGGACCATCTTCAGGAGCTATTAGCAAAAGCAATTAATTACCTTGCGACAACGCCTGCTGCTTATACTCACATTCGAAAAGCATTCACTCATAACATCCATGTTGAGTATACGCAGAGTACTCCTTATGCAAAAAGCAGTTATCTACTAAAGCTCGATTATTAATAGGCAAAAGCAAACTATGCTCACTTTCGATGCTCCACAGGCTTCGCTTTCAAGTCTATTATAGAGATATTGCGCATACGCCGCATTGCTCAATGATTGACTTAAGCATTTTATATACGTGCTGAAAGAAACCAATGAAAGAATAGAGTAAAATTGGCTTTTTCTGTGTCAGACAATCGTAATAAGGTTACCTGTATACATTTTGGTCGAATTACGCGGTCCCCCTTGCAGTCAAAGCTAAAAGCCGAAAGTCGCAAAGTAAAATTACCTTTATCTGCCTTACTCTACCGCTGAATGTCAATCAGGATGTCATACGACAACGAAAATTCCACCTCGAGCCCATTTTTACACGTTTTGTTCATATTTTTATTTTTTTTTGCTTTTACAGATACTGCAAGAGATGATGGTTGAAATTGACTATGATGCCGATGGCACAGTGTCCTTGGATGAATGGCAACGTGGCGGCATGACAACCATACCGCTGCTCGTCCTGCTAGGTGAGTGTGAGTGTGAGTTGAGTGTGTTTGTGTGTGAGCGTCGGAGCCAAGTAGCTGTGAAGCTTTCAATGCATTTATCGCCTCGCTGCCTCACCTGTCTGCCGTGGCTGTCTCAATAATCAAGTCATTTGCAGCAGGTACACAGAAGTTCTGCAAAAAGAGTAGAACAAAAATGTGAAAATAGTAAACGTGGCACTTTTTTGCCTTTTGCTGCACGTATGCAAAACTGTGCGAAGCCCCAGCCTGCATCCAACGCCATATATCAAGCTACTCACTTAACACACCTGCCCTAATACGCCCACCTCCACTTTCCAGGTGTCGACAGCACTACACTCAAAGAGGATGGCATTCATGTGTGGCGCCTGAAGCACTTTAGCAAGCCAGCATATTGCAATCTCTGCCTAAATATGTTGGTCGGCCTTGGCAAAAAGGGACTCTGCTGTGTTCGTAAGTATCAGAGATATATTTACATATATATGTGATGTATACTCTATATAATAGACACACTATATAACCTAAATGTCTAATGTCTCTTTAAATTAGCGAAAATTACATTTACAAAAGATTTCAAATATTAAGAGAGTGATTTCAAAAACTCGAAAAACATTTATATATAATATATATATCATACATATATTTATATATATATACATATATTATATCATTTTCTTTCTCAAATTATTAAGCCGCCCTCGTTTAGTTTTTCTCACTCTATCTCAGTAATATATATCCCTGTGTATATATTAATTACTTTCAATATTTTTAAAATAAAATAAAATTAAATTTTCTAAGAATAATTTAGTTCAAGTTTCATTGAGTTTTCCTTTTTCTTTTTAGTTAATCTCAGCTAACATATATATATCTATCTATAAACCTACCATATCTCCATATCTGTTTAGTCTGCAAATACACGGTACATGAGCGTTGCGTGCAACATGCGCCTGCCTCGTGCATCACGACCTATGTGAAGTCGAAGAAGCCCAAATGTGGCGGAGATCTGCTGCATCATTGGGTCGAGGGCAATTGCTATGGTCGCTGCTCCAAGTGCCGTAAACGTATCAAGGCCTATCACGGCATAACGGGACTCACCTGTCGCTGGTGCCACATGATGGTGAGTGTATCTAAATTGGGAGTTGAAACAAGCTTAAGCTATTGCTGCAGGTAGTTAGGACCAAGGAAATCTGTTTAAATAAATAATTTATTTAAATAAATTTTTTTAGGTATTCTAACTTATTTTACCTTAATTAAAGAGTGTAAGAAAGGTATGCATGTGTAGTCTTAAAAATTATATTTAAATTTAATTTGTCTAAATTGAAATTTTAATTCAATTTTAAATTTCACTTTTAATGTATGTTTCGTCTTCGATTTAATCCTATTTCAATTTCTTGAACAACCCTCGTTAATTTTTAGTTTCAATTTCAAATTCAGTTTCAAGTTGAGTTTCAATATAAATGACATTAACTTTTTAGCCAACTTTCGTTGTAGTTGAAGCCAATCGTTGTTCAATTTTACATTTGAAAACTGTTTGCAAATTGCAAATAAAAATAAAATTGTTGTCATTGTTGGCGAAGGTAGGGGGGTTGGGTGTTGGGGGTTGAGGGTTGGGCGAGAAATGCTGAAGGCATTTTTCCCTTATACTTCAAAGCATTTAGTTAACAAGACAGTTGCCAACTGAGAGACTGACAAAGTGAGGCACTGAGACACTGCGAGGAAGACATTCCAATGTTGCTCAAGCTTGTGGAATTTGTTCAATATGTAGAATTTCAATTATTTTGATCAACAGAGAGCGAAGTCTGCTCAGTTGCTTTGGCCGCTGGCTCCTATTTGTTTTGATTCAAGCAAAAAACTTGTTAAGCTCCACTGATTTTAACTACACGCAGAGAGACGCAGAGACAGGAAGCAGGAGGCAGGAGCAAGGCCAACAGACGTACACTTGTGTCTTGCACTTGGTTGGCTGCCTTTAGTTCGTTTTTTATTTTCGGTGTGCGAATTGTCACGTCTCAAAGAAATTATGCTGCTGCTGCATGCCACAGCATGCCTGTGGCACAGCCAACCGCTTGCAACAACTTTGTCTGGCGCGTTGCCTGTGACAGACCGTGCAGCTTGTCGCAAGATAATACCGACTTCGTTATCTGTAGTCAGCAACTAGAACAGACAACAGCAACAGCAACAGCAACAACAGCAGCAGCAGCAACACCAATGTTACCAAAGCAACGAAAGTTTCCCTGAATGTTTCAAAAGCTGAAACGTTGCTGCAATAGTCAATAGTTGAGGTCTCGAGGCACAGCCACAAAACAAGCCACAAGAACTTCGACGTAGATGTTGCCATAACTCTGTGCGATAAGCATATGAGTAATTATACCCTAGACTGCTTCGAAAATGCATCAACTGGGTGGATTGGTTACCCTTGAAGTACAACAAAGTACATATACAACAGTTGAATCGATCATATTCAGTCACTATAAAAGCATAAGAGAGATAGAGTATTAGAGTATAAAAGAGTATGAGTAAAAGAGTATAGGAATATTAGAATCAACATCCGACACAATCTATCTTGTCACCGGTCATCATATGAGTATAAGAGTATAAGAATATTAACTACCTACCCTGTCAGTCACCCTATGAGTATAAGAGTAATAGAATATAAGAATAGAACAGCCTAAGAGTATAAATACATATGAATATTTACTTATGCTTAGCATGGGATTCCAGGGTAACGTCCCGTCGAGCATCCCTCGAGTTTTCTCACTGTCATTACATTTGCATTTTGCCAGGCATTAAAGGTGCTTGAAATTTCACACGTCGCTGCCACACGCGATTATAGCTGCACGTAGTTGCAATACACTGAAGAAAATAAGTAGCTTGCATTACATAAATACATATATTTATAAATATAGCTAAATTGAGGCGTGCTTAATTTCCATTTAGGCGTAAATTAACAACATTTTTCGAGGTGGGTGGCGTGCGCTAACAAAGTTTTTAATCGAATTCATTAAAGCGAAATGAGCGCTTAAGTAAGCGTGCCAAGAGCTCGTCAAATAAATACGTATACGCCCTGTCGTCCGGGCCGGGCTAGGCCAGGCCAGGCCAGAAGTGAGGCATTAATTGAATTTAAGGCGCGCGCTAAAAATTCAGTTTTTCACTTTTTCAGTTTTTATGATTCAGATTTTTGGGGTCTACTTTGCATCTTGTTGGCTAATTGAATAGAATTTTAAAAACTTTACCTTTGTCTCACTCTCTCTCACGGTCTTTCTCTCTCTCGTTCCAGCTGCACAATCGCTGCGCTTCGTCTGTGAAAAAGGAATGCACTTTGGGCGAATATGCGGAGCTAATTGTGCCGCCTACTGCAATATGTCCCGCTGTCCTGGATCGTCAACGTTCAGTTAACCAGGCGCATAAAGTGAGTTGACTCCATTTGCAATCTAACCAAAATCAATTCCAACTGAATCCCAACAATTGGCAAACTCTTACTAATCCACATTGAATTCGTGCTCTTCTTGCTTACTGTACTTTGTATATTTACTTTGCTATCACATCTAAATAAATATATATGTGTATCGTATGTATACACATATTTTACAATTCCTGCAAAATTAAACCCACTCGTAACTCCAAAACCTGTAAAACTTGAGTAGAAATCACATATGCATCATCATCAGCAGGCAACGCACTTTCAAATTACGCCGCCGGATGAATTGAGCTGCCCGCTACTGGTTTTTGTGAATCCCAAGAGTGGAGGACGCCAGGGCGATCGCATTTTACGCAAATTCCAGTATATGCTCAATCCTAGACAGGTGTACGATCTGTCGAAAGGTGGGCCCAAGGAAGGTACGTCACGCATTCGCAATGCTAAACTGTGTGTTATGCAATATCTGTCTTGTTGTATGTCCGTCTATCCTTCTGTCCGCTGGGGTAGCTAGGGACAGGATAGCGTGAACAAGTATCGACTTAACTGTCTATTCTTCGACAGGACTTACGCTGTTCAAGGACCTGCCCAATTTTAAAGTCATTTGCTGCGGCGGCGACGGCACCGTTGGCTGGGTGCTCGAGGCAATGGGTAAGCAGCAGCCGTAAAAGCGAGCTAATAGCAGTAAATGACAGCGATGTCACTCAAACAGATTCCATCGAGCTGGCCACACAGCCTGCCATTGGGGTAATTCCACTTGGAACGGGCAATGATTTGGCACGCTGTCTACGCTGGGGCGGCGGCTATGAGGGTGAGAATATACCCAAGCTAATGGAGAAGATAAAGCGCGCCTCGACCGTTAGCCTGGATCGCTGGAGCATCGAGGTAACCAACACACCACTCACCGTGGAGGAATTGCGTCCCAAGGTAAATTTACATTTGATCGTTTAAGTTGACTTGAAAATTTGTTCGAATAAACGGCTCCTTTGACTAAGCTACTTCAATTAAACTAATTTGCTGTTGGTAAACATTCATCGTTAAGGATAGACAGTGTAAGTCGTGCTTAACTATGAACTATTGCTGAACAAGTAAAAAGAACAATTGATTCAAATTAACTATCGTATGTATACAGTATAAGTCGTGCTTAACTATCAACGATAGCTGATACATACATACATACATATAAGAACAAGTCAAAAAAGAACAATTGATTCAAATTAACTATCGTATGTATGTATCGATAGATTCATGAGCAGCAATTTGCCAAATTGAACTAGTAAATAAAACTTCGATATTCAATAAACGGAACACGTTATCTAAATGTTGTCAAGTCGATGTATCGATACGATGATCCGATAAAGTCGTGAATAACTTCAAAATGAACATTTGAACTGTTGTAGGTGCAAACTCTTGCCAAGAGTTTGCGAAAGTAAATTAAAAAGAAAAATCCAATTATCTAGCAAAGTTTTTGCAGTTTTGCAGATTGAATGTGGTTCAGAGTGGTAAGCAAAGGCAGAGAAATCGAGTCGGAAACACAAAAAAAAAAACGATTACACAAACTAATTTTGAATGTTGCCACACATAGTATATGTCTCTAACTGTGTCTATCTCTCTCGCTCTCTCTGCTTTGGTCTGTTTGACAGGTAACTTTGCACTCAAACATGCAGAAGGTGATTGAATTGTCGCAGAGCGTTGTGGTCGACAAATCGGTGATCGAACGTTTCGAGGAAATCCAGCGGCAAAACTTCATCAGCAACAGCAGCAGCAGTGGCAACGACAACATGTCGATGGGCAAACCGATTATGATGGCAACAACAACAACAACAAGAACGAAAGAGGCGGAGGAGGAGGAGGAGGAGCGGCAGGTGGAGGTGGTACGAAGTGGGAATGTTGTTGTAAGTGGCTGCACAACCACGAAGAGCATTTCAATGTCCACATTCGAAACGAGACGAGTTCAAAAAAAAACATTAACTGCCACAATGAGCAACAAGAGCAACAGCAGCAGCAACTCAAGTGGCAGCGGCAGCAACTCCAGTGGCAGCAACAGCAATCAGCCACAAATGCTGGCAGCAAGCAGAGCTGATGCAACGGAAAAGCAATCTCTAGAGACGTTGCTGCTGCAGCACAAGCAACAGCAGAAGTTGGCAGCGGAAGCAGCCGCAGCAGCAGCAGCTACAGAACATGCAACCGCTGCAGCATTTGAGCATAATCAAAGCGATGATCATAATAGTCAACAGCAGAGCATTGCTAAGCGGCAAATTACATTGTCATTAGACTTGTCCGACACCAGCAGCTATAACAACGAGCAGCAGAGCAGACAACGTCAAGTGGATAGCACGCCACAAACACCCAATACACCAAAAACATTCTCAACAGCAGCAGCAGCAGCTACACCAGCAAGTCCCGCTGCAACAACTCCAACTAAAGCAGCCCTCACAGCAACGACACCAACAACACCCTCAGCAATACCTATAGGAGCTACAGCAACAACACCCACAGCAGCAACTGGCAGCAGCAGCAGCAGCAACATTCCGCAAAAGCCCATCAAAGTTCAATCGGACAAGGACTGCACAGTGCCCTATAACATTATCAACAATTATTTTTCCGTTGGCGTGGTAAGTAAACTAAAAATTATCCCCTACTTCCTGTTTACTTGTCTCGACTGTTGTTTTCTTGTTGAATCAGTTGCAATTTGTGTTTCTGCTGCTTTAAACTGTTTCCAGTAAGAGCAAAGCAGAGCAGACCAGAACACGATAGCAACCATGCAAGCCACAGCAACATGTGCCCTATCTGGGAGTGCGTGACAAGCATGAATGAAGACAGCTTCAATTAAATCTGATAATCTTAATAAATATATATGCATCTATATATATATGTATATCCCTATAGTGCCTCTCTCTCTCTCTTTCTGTTCCTATACAAATAAAATTTTTGAATTTAAAGAACTTGATTAAAGTTCACTCTTATTGGTCATGCTGACTTAAGGCGCATATTCCAAAGCAGCTATGAGGAGATATAATTAAAGACAAGGATTTTAGAAACAATTAGGATTAGGATTTTCGAAGTCATATGTTTTCTGATTGATGGTAACACAAGTTAGATATCGAGATTGGAATTATCGATAAATATTGATATTTCGAATAACTACACAAACCAAATTTGGTATATAGATTTCTGAAATAAATATGCAGATATTATGAATATTTGAGATGTTCTATATATGTCAAAATGTTCACTTAATACAGCTTAAATTGCTAAAGCAGCTTAAACAGAGAGCCACAATATTCGTTGCAAATGTCTTTCGGCTTAATTTGGCTTTAAGTCAATAGAGGAGTGCAGAGCTCTGCTCATTCTATTCAATATTTCATATGGCTATATATTCATTTGCTTAATCATTTATTCAGCATTTGTGATTTGTAAACGAAAGCAACGTACAAACGTGGCGCACATTTCCGCCCCTTTCAGCTAACGGAACTTGGCAAATGCACGCGAAATGAAAAGTTGTGAAAGCTGAAAAAGTGCAGCTCCTCGCTTTCTAATGCAAATTTCGCCATAAACTTGTAAGCCGCCAGAGAGAGCTGCAGAAAATGAAATGAAAGTCAAACAAAAGCGTTGGGGAAATAGATAAGCGCATACAGTGAACTCTCGCTTCAGCGAATAATCAACAATTCCAGCCAAAAAATCCAGCATGGCCAGGGCTTAAGGTGAAAATAGAAAGTTGAGCACTTAAACATGCTTTACATAATGGGAGTGATGCAGTCGAGTTTGCTAACAGATAGCCTGGGTTGATGATGTCTGAAATACAGCAGCTAAATTACCAACAAATATCGATATTTATCGATGAACATGAATAGATCATCCTGATTCAAAAATGCAAATTTACAATGTATACAGGGTATCTTGAAACTAAGTCTAAGAGGACTGCAGATCTTGCTCAGATCATTGTGCTATGTTCACAATTCAGTAGAGCATATACTTCTTCACTTGCTATGTGTACAGGGTATCCGAACAGAACAAAAAAACAATGGGCGAAAATTTCCATATTTCACGTTTGCCGCAAATTGCCAAAGTGTTGCACAAATACAGGCAACATGTAACGTGCAACGTGCAACGTGCAACGTGCAACATGCCCCAATTGACTAAAGTTGATTGCAGCCACACCCACAAACTACACACACACCACACAGTCAAACACAGTCAAACACAGTCACAAATAGCTGGCATTCAATCAACAACAGTCGGGAGCTCATTTGCATCATAAATGCATCGATAGAGCTCAAACAGCGCAATCATTAGCGAGCGCGAACATCGGGGCTCAAAGGGCAGTGGAATGCAAATAGACTTCAATCAATAGGCCACATAATTGGGCATGGGTTGATAAGGTTAAGTGTCGAGCTCGAAATACCAGACAGTGAACTGGCAGCTGATTGAAAACTGATTTGGGATCAGTGCAAATTGAAATCTAGGAATGGAACTAGCACGAGGCACGCAAGTCTGAGTATAGACTTGATGCACAGCTGATAAACATATATAGCCGACTCTTTGTTAAGCAATTATTAGTATACAAGTATAATCCTTCTTCCTTGCGCCGACTTCGACCCTAGAGGCTAAGAGTTCGGCTCGTCAAGCCAGAAGTCTATATAAAGTATGACATATTGTTGTCTTTCACACAATCTGTAACGAATAGACAAGGCTAACGAAAGCTAATCTGCATATCTGACAGAAGAGAAATAATCTCAGAATTAATAAATGAACCTCTTGATTGACAGATGCAATGGATGATTAGATTAAACCTTAGTAAAACCTTCTATAAACTCGAGCTTAACAATTAAAATCTATTCAAGTGCTTCTGAGGTGTCTGATATACCGACTAGATAGTATATCTCACAGATATACTTCCCATACTGCCGATAGACCTCCCCACACTATTTGGCTGTGTCGTC